CCACTATTCAATTATATATAAGGAGAGATAATTATGGCAATAGGCTTTGTAGCCTGGACTGAACTGGTCCCTAAGCCCTGGTAAATCATATACATATTACTTCCACCCATGCTTGGACTCTGCTTAGCATGGAAAATGCTTTTCAGGATGAGTTACTCATTAGGACAATGAGGTACAAAGGAGGATAAAATTATTTTACCTTTCATTGTCCATACTGAATTGTATAAAGCTTTTCATATCTTTGCATGGTAAGATGAACCTGCCCAAATTAATGCTGCTATGTAGTGGCCATAAGTATGAAAGTCCAGCTCCCCATTGCTTTTAATCATTCTCATTGAGGCAAATCTGTAAAACGGGGCATTTCCAAAGAGACTGAAGGGTGCACAGTATGGTAGCCTAACACCTTTCATGGATAGTGTCCATCAGTTTCACTTGCTGCCTGTTTGCTTTCAGGCTCAACTGAAAAAGCTGGTAATGATCAATAGCATCCTATAAAGCCTGCATTAAGACTGCTTTAAATACTCTGACTTTCTTCTATATGATACTGTTCTCTGTTGTTTAATCAGTTGAGAGCTGGGCTTTTGTTTTTGTTTTGTGTGTGTGTGTGTGTGTGTGTTACTCAGACCCACATGAGGAGTGAGTCTGGATTTGTGTTTTATTTATGTTTTATGTTTCCAAGACCCTGGCGAGAGGTGGATCTGTATATTAAGTTTGGGTGTGTATTTATTTATTTGTTTGCTTGCTTATTTTCCTTTGCCTGCTGGTGAAAGAAATGTGCTGGGGGGACAGAATGGGGTGAGAGATAGTGCCATGATTCGTAGTGTGTGGGGTAGGGGGAGATGTGGTGGAGGACAGGCAGACCAGGTAAGGGGAAGGAACAGCAGACAATTGTGTGCTGTCGCCTCTTCTGACTCTTCTTGCAGCTGAAGTGATGTTGGTAACCATATCAAAAGCCTCCAGGCTACAAAATCCTGCTGCTAAAAGCCAAATCAGTCACAAGAGATCATTGAGGAAATACCAAACAAAGCAGAACAAAAAAAAAAATCTTCACTCGCTAGCAGAAGACCGCTAAAGAAGGGGATGGACAAATCCTCCTGGGGAGAGAGTTATGGAGCTTTGGTGGGCCAAGACTGGAGTGGTCTCTGTGACCCATTCCAGTCAACAACCTGGCTGCAGTATTCTGTACCAATTGAAGTGTCCAAATATTTTTCAAAGGCAGCCCCATGTAGAGCACATTGCAGTAATCTAACCTGGATGTAACCAGGGCATGTACCGCAGTGGCCAGATCTTTTCTGTCCAGGAAAGGCTGCAACTGGCTCACCAGATGAAGCTGGTAAGAGGCATTCTTGGCCACAGCTGCCACCTGCTTATCTAGCAGTAGGCACCCTCAGACCTGTTCCTTCAAGGGGAGTGCAACTCCATCCAGAATGATGGACACCTTAAATCCCCATTTAGACCTTCTGCCCACCACTAACACTTCTGTCTTGTCAGGATTAAGCGTCAGTTTATTAGCCCACATCCACTCCAAAACTGCCTCCAGGCACTGGTTCAGGATTTCGGTAACTTCCCTAGGATCTACTGGAAGTGTAAAATAGACCTGAGAGTGTCATCTGTATATTGGTGACAGTCCAATATTATTATTACCTGAGACAGGCCCAGGGTTATTATGGAGACCATGAAATACTAAGCTGCTCCTGATAGGCAGCCTCAGCATGAATGCTGAAGTTCCCCAGGACCATCAGCCTAGGGTGGTCATCAACACCACCCCTGAGACCAGCTCTGTCAGCTCAGCTAGGGAAACAGGCAGCAGCATGAGCAGTACACTAACAGAATCCCAATCCTGCCTCTCAACCCCAACATCCGTACACAGCCTCAAAACTAGTAGCATCCTGGATGGGGCACTGTGCTCGGGGGATAGAATCCTTATAGACTATGGCAACACTGCCTCTTATGTTTTGTATGCATTTTAACTGTTTTATATGTATTTTAACTCTGTTTTTTTAGCTCTTTTTAAAGTTTTATATGTTTTATTATAATGCTTTTATAATGTAACTTTTTAATGTACCTTTTAAATTGTTAGCCACTTTAGCAGCCCTTTTAAGATATAAATTTTGCAAATAAAAATAATAATTAAAAAATACAGTTGTGGAACTCCCTTGCAAAATAGACTCACCAGAATCTAAGCTTGCAATTGTTAAGAAATATATTTGTATATAAAAGCCCTATGAAGGTTAAGTTATTTGAAACTCTCCTGTTCTTAGTCTCAGGGTAGTTCTCAATGATGTCATATATTTTATGTGAATTCTTAGTCTGTTTCTGTGAAGTTGTTTTAAATGAAATTTTCATTTTTGTGGAGTTGTTGTAAAGCAGAATAGACTTCCCACACAAAGGAAAGATAGGTTACAGATCGGACAGGTGAATGGATGAGCCTGTTATGATGAGCCAAAATCAGTTTCAATTTGTTTGGTCTGACTAGGGATTGCCTTGTCTTTAAGCAGGGCCAGCCTAAGGTTTTTTTGTGCCCTAGGCGGGGCTACCTTCTGGCGGCCCCCCCCCCCGGCACATGCCCAATTACGGCATTGCCAACCTCCTGGAGCGCGCCCCAGAGAGCCCTTCTCTCCGCTGCTCACACCCATTCCAGCCTGAATGAGAGAGGCGTGGCACTGCTCCGCGGCACTGGCCAGCTGGCTAACCCTCCCTCCCTCCCCTCTCCTCCCTCCCTTCCTTTAAGGGATGGCCACCTCCCGGCACTGGAAACCCCCAAAGCTGGGCCACACCCCTGGGCAAAGGCGAGGTGGCCGGGCACCTTTGGAGGGCGCTGAAACACACCGAGGGAGTTTGGCCTTGCTGTGCCAGATACGAATGGGGGTTTTCTTCTGTCTCCGAGGGGAGCTGCCACGTCGCTTCTTCCGCGCTCCTCTGACCTCCCCTCCTCCCTCTGCCCAGCTGAGTCAGTTTTGTGTGTCCCTTGGTGGACTGCCGCCCTCCTCTCACCCGTGCAGGCAGCAGAGCAGCAGGCAGGAGGAGGCCCAGAACAGAAGCTGTCAGGGCGGCTCCTTCATTGTCTCCCCCGTTTACCTCTCCTGGCCAGGGGGGGCGGTGGCGCATCCTCCCAGCAACGGTGGCTCTGCCGCTGGGGCGGGGGTGGCCCCTCTGGCAGCTGGCTGGCTGACTGGTTCACCTCTTCCTTTCTTCCGGCCCCCGCGCCTCTCTTGCCTTCCCCACTGCTTTTGGCTGCCGCTCCAAGCTCCAGTCCCGATGTGCTGAGGTGGAATGTGATGCATCAGCTGCCTGGGAAGCAAAGAAAACTGACCGTGCCTTCGTTCAGGCTTTTGGCGGGGGGGAGATCAGTGCCCCATCCAGGGCCGGCTGCTGCCCCATCCAGGACTCGGCACTATAGGCGAATGCCTAGTTTGCCTAGCGGGTGAGCTGGCCCTGTCTTTAAGCTTAACCATAGCTGCCCCTATGGGGAGGGGCTATGGCTCAGTGGTAGAACATCTGCTTGGCAAGCAGAAGGTCCCCAGTTCAATCCCTGGCATCTCCAGTTAAAAGTACCAGGCAGTGAGTGATGTGGAAGACCCCTGCCTGAGGCCTTGGAGAGCTGTTGTCAGTCTGAGTAGACAATACTGACCTTGATGGACCAAGGGTCTGATTCAGTATAAGGCAGCTTCATATGTGTTCATGTGTTCGATGTGGATTTTGTTAACACAGGACAGAGTAGAAATTGCAAATTGTAGACATGGGATTGGAAATCACAGCCACAAGTATAAGCAACTTAACTATTCTCTTTCTGAAAGTGTGTATACCTACCATTGTAATGTGTGAATGCAATACATATAAAATATCAGATAGGTACATTAATCAGGAAGCCATAATCGGCTACAAATTTCTATCAATGGTATACCCAGTGGTAAAACCAGGTGTGCTATTGTGTAACCTGCAAAACATCTCTGACCCCTCAGAGAATTTAGCCTTCTGAGCTGATATGTCCAGAGACAGGAGAGTATTGGGAAAAGTTCTGCCAAGAAACTAGAATCTGATAGTAAGGGTGAACTTCCTCTGAGTTTAGGAAGGCACCTTTTAAGGGGTCAGCTACTACGACCAAAGCTACCTGAACAATATCTCTTTGAAACTGATGGATCATCAACTTTAGCAGCCCCCTCCTATTTCTGGGTATAAGGACACTACAGCCATGGCAGGGAAGGCAAAAATCCCTGGTACCCTCACCTGAACAAGTGCTAAAAGTATGGAAGTCTTCTGTATGCAATAATAAAAACCTTTCTGTAAAATTCTGCTGGTCTTAGTTTGTAAAGTCTTGTTTGCAGCCCATCCTATTCAACAGTAAATAAAATTGCATAGAATTCCTGTCATTTCTCTGATATGCTATCCATGTATGTGTCAAATATTAGAGTTACACCCTTCAAAGCCCATTGATTTAATGGACTTATAAAGATATAACTCTGCTTAAAACAGTACTCCGTTATCTTCAGAATAAAAGCAGTAGATGTGCTGAATAGAATAAGCTGTAGAATGATTATTCCAATATGAAGTGGTTGCAACAGATTAACAGTAAGGATCTGTTACAGTATTGGTGTTAACAAGTATTAATAGAACCTTCACATATTTACATAAATAGAGCATTCACCAATATTTTAAATTTTAAAAAAGCTGGAGATGAGGGTCTCATCTGTGATGGCTTCAATTTTGTGTATTTTATAGGACACTGTTATTCCAGATATAGCCTATGGGTTGCAACGTTTCGCTAAAAAACTAATACATTTCTAGATTTGTTAGCTGTTTCAACATAGATGCACTTTGCTAATCTAATTGCAATATTTTGAGCTTAGTTCCAAAATATCAATTGCTTTTAGTATTTCAAATGAATATGGCTGTTGGGTAAATGGGGCTGTGGTTCTTGATAAAAGTCACAGAAGTAATTTTGTATGTGTGTTTTATGCTAACGTGCCTCTTTGATACTCATGCACATATTTCCCTTGTAGAGTTTTAAGCTGAATGTAGACAGCCACTGTGCATTAAAGGAAGCCGTTGTAGAAGAAGGACTCCAGCTTCTTGATCTTATAGTATCTCACAAATCAGGTAAATCCTTCTGAAATATTGCAAGTCTTTATGTCTCCCAACTATTAAAGAATAAAGAAGCATTGCTGTAAATTACTGCATATATTCACTTCCTTATGTATTATTAATATTTACATTATCAGTTTGACCTTCAAGATTTATAAATGTTTCATATACTGCATACAATGCTGTGATACCTATAAAATGAAATACTGCCTGCAAATAGTCTGCTCATTTTATTTTGGTCTTGCTGCTTAGCTGAGTTTCAATTGAAATTACATCACTGAAAATTTCACACTGACATATCCTTTGATGTAGGTGCAATGGAAATAACATTACGATGATAAATTAGGATTTCAGATCTATACACAGATATATTTTTACATAGCCGGCCTGAGTAATTGCATTGGTAAAGGCTCTTTTGCCGTTTGAGTTAATTCTTACTGCAATTTTAAAGTATTTATTAGGAAAATTTAAAAATTAAGAATAGTTATTTCCTTTGGTTATGCTTGTCCTTTTCACTATAAGCCTTAAGTCAGAATGAATTTTTTTTTGTTATATTTTTGGAATTTTGCATGGCTCATTGAATGGGATAGTTTTAATCAGTGCACTCAACTCATAGAAATGGCATGCTTATTTTTTGGCCCGGTTGAAGTAGGTTTTATCCAACACATTCTCTAGTTTTTGTGTAATTATTACTTGAGTCCTTACATTTGTTCTGCACATGCTCCTTGAGAGCCTTAAATAGATCCTCCTCCATGAATTCTGTAGTTAATGTTGGTGGACTTGCATAATATCCTGGAGGCTGTAGAATGTTAGGAAAAATAGATGACTAATAGGGCAATGTATATATAAGGAAATTGGGGAGGGGGGAAGAGAAAGAAAATTAGTACCTATGTATGTTCTGAGTGAGAGTTTGTCCAGCATGAGGAAACAGATTATATATTACTTTATTTGTTCTTTACCATCTTTGGTTATGCCTAGCATGTTGTGTTCTTGTCATGTTCAGCCTTATCAAGTCGTTGGCAATGCATGATAGAACTCTTGAAAGAATTTCCTAATAAAGAGTATTGAAATACTTAGATGTGGGTTTCCCCCCTCCTTTCTCATGGTCCACCTTTGTATAAATAATATGATTAAAAATAGAGTTGAATGTGTTACTTAATCCCCCCCCCTTTGTTTTGGAAAAGGACTGAAGGACATGCTGCAAATAATTGCAAGTCAATGGAAGGAACTACAGAAGCAAATCAAACGACAACACAGCTGGATTCTTCGGGCTCTGGGTATCATCAAAGCAGAGATACTGGCTACTGATGTGTCTGCAGAGGATGAGGAAGGGACTGAGAGCCCCAAGGTAAGTGGCTTGAAGTTTGTCTTATTTCCTCTTATTTCCTCTTCCTTTTGAACTAGGTACCACTGAAGTTTTCTTTCCACCCTAAGGCTTTTCATTTCTACTGGGTAATTTTTTTTGTATAAACAAACTAAAATGCCTCACTCTGAAACAATAATAAAAAAATAGCCCAGGCTGAAACTTTCCTCCCCCAAATTTTTCAGATAGAGCACTTTTGCTTGGTGCAAAGGGATGAGGAAGGAACGTAAAATATTTAGTAAACAAAACATAAAGTATCTTTAACATGAATAATCAGAATGGTTTTAAATTGTTTTGTTGCAACTATAAATCACTATAATCAGTGCAATCACTCAGCTCTGACATCCATTAGCCGCTTGGTTACAGCAAATTAACAAAGAAGAGAGAAAGTGATTCATTATCTCATTCCTGTTAATGACTATCAGATGCATTGCCTAATTAGGGGATGGCCATTGTAGTGGGGAGAAGGTCATATGCTTTGCCACAAATCTTTTTTTGCTTGGAGTTTAAGCCTTCTGTAATGGTGCATGTGTTGAATACGCCAGGCACTTTAAAATATTGATATCCATATCCATTTGGAGAACTGGAAGGCACTTCTTCCTTAGTACTATGCTGCCATTATTCTAGTGGTGGTGTTGGAGGGAGCCTTGCTACAGAGAGAAAACCTGTTTGCTCTGTTTTACTTTGAGAAATATGCCAAAAATATGTGTTCTTCAACAAAAACAAAAATATGAGGAAAGTTCCTGAAGTGGATGGAGAGTTGCTGAAGAATTACTGGGTAGCCAGTAATTTGTTTCCTTTCAAAAGGCCAAATGAGCACTTTACTCTTCACCATGCTAATAAATATATTCATTATCAGTCGCATTGTAGGCATTATTCAATACTTGTCCATAACTGAAAAAATACACACTTCTTTAGAGTCACATTGGCTATGTACCTGGGGAAAAGCTTCTGACTTTTCAAGGTATCACAAAAACAGAAAGCTAGGGTTTATTGTGACCAAAGTGCGGCAGCAGGGGGGGAAATGCCACAAACATGGCTATTAGAGGTAGGCAAGAGCATTTTTAGATCTGGAAAATGGTATCAAGTGTCAATCAAGTGTCATTGTTACCTGTGATCAATTTCATAAAGCCATTCAGTTGTCTGAATAGGAACTAGCTTGGATTCACTGGAATGTTTCCATAGACAGAAGGATTTCTGCCCTTGCTGGGGGACTTTCTAGCCTCTTCCCTCTTGCCACAGCCTCACCTGTCTCCTGAAATGCTGCCCCATGGCTACAGTGGACCGCAGGAGTGGGACTAGATGGTCCTTTTTGGCTGCAGCTGGAGAGGGGTGAGAAACTCACTCTCTGAGCAGAAACACCTCCATCCATAGAAATGCTCCTGGGGATCCAAACACCATGGTATTGTTGGCACCAAGGTTTGTTCTAAGACTAAATTCTTCGTTTACTGCCACATATAAGGGCTTCATGGCACACTTCACATAATTGCAGGTACTCGTTGTGTGAACCTGTTTTGGCAAACCTACATGAATCATACTGATAGCATAATTATTCTTATGATTTTTTTGGTTGGCGCACTAAATTTTAGGCAATTCCAGTGTTCTGCCTAATTGTCAATTTTATATTTGTGTTTAATTATGTGAATCAATAAAAGCAATTCAGCAATAGCTATGTTCATCTTTTGTAAGCTAGTAAAGCCAAAGAACAGATCACAAGGGAAGTAGCCCATTACTGTCCATTTTAATTATCTGTTTAACACTTTACCCGCAGTGTCAGCAGTAGCTTGCCTAGTGAGTCACTGGATGATTCAAGTAACAGAGTTGTGTAAGGGTGTGTATTCGGCATAAACCAAGCCAAAAAATACCTGAAAAAACCTTACCAGCATTTTTCGGGTATTTTTTAAGCTGGCTGTTGACTCGGGCTTAATTTCAGCTATCCAAAAAGGCCAAGTCCTGACAAGCTTGAAAATATTTGGGATTTTCAGGACCACTGGATAGCCAAACTTAAAGGGCACTTCTGGGTCATACAGATGATGAAGTCAGTGCTGGGTTCTGTTAGGCACTGCATAACTGTGCCCTTATACACTGCTGCAGTGGTGGTGACAATCTCCGATAAAGACATTGCATCTCTTTCCCCTTCAGCAATACTCAGTGGCAGTAACTGGAGTTCTCCAAGTAAGTCAGTATGTGTGTCAGTACTAGGGATGGGCACGGGCCAGAAAAATGGAGGTTCATGGGAGGTTTGTGATTCATGAATTTCATGAACTATAAACTTCCACAGACTTTTCTGGTTTACAAACCAGTTTGTGGATCATGAGGTCTGTGATGCAGTGCATTTAAATGCCTCCTGATTCCACTTCTGGGTCATGCATTGCCTCCTGAGCTCGCTCGTGTTGCACTGCAGCAGTGGGGCAATCTGAAAGTGGGCTCTGGAGGCAGTTAGATGCCTCCTGAGCTCACTCACAGCATGGCACAGGGGCAGCATGGCTTTAGAGAGTTCTCTGGCTGCCAGCATGTCTGGCCCACAAACTCTTCTAATGGACAAAATGGACCACCTTTAAAAAAAAATTAGTCTGTGGGCAATCCATCAAAACCATGAATGCACAGACCGGGCAAAAGGTCCGTGAACCAGCCCCTGATCCGTGATGAAATTAGATCTGTGGATCGGTTTATGCCCATCCCTAGTCAGTATCGCTCAATCACCTGTTACCATATTGATGTTACTGCCATCTCTGCAATATATTATGGACTCTGTGGAGTCAGTCTAGGTGATGTTGAAATAAAACCAAACAAAGAAGTAGGTGTGTCATCTCACTTAACTCAATCTGGTCAGTATTCATTTCAAAACATTTTATTTCTGGTAGTGAAATTTTGACACCATGGTAAGCGCATTTTGAATTTATATAAGTAGAGCTACTAGCTCTGAAAAATTCCTGGAGATTTGGAGGTGGAGCCTGGGAAGGGTGGGGCTTAGGGAGGGAAGGGACCTCAGTGGTGTATAATGTCATATAGTCCCCTTCTGAAGGAGGCTGGTTTCTCTACAGAAAACTGATCTCTGTAGTCTGCATATCAGTTGCAATTCCAGGAAATCTCCAGGCCCCAAATGAATGCTGGCAACCCTATAAGTTGTTTGAATACAACAGTCCCTTATTTGCAGAAATGGAACAAAATTGCCATCTATATTGTATTGCACTGGGGAAAGCTCTGATAAGCTGAAGTGGCAAAAACATTCCATTGCTAAAGAAATGAAAGAATTTGCACTGGGGCGTCTAAGAGGGAAAAGAGAGTTGTCAGTTTAGCTGAGATAAAGGCACCTCACATAAAGGCAGGTTGAAGGCTGGGAAAGTCGCATTATGCAGGATGCTAAGGGGTAGGGAGCCTCAGAAGAAGAATACTGAAAAAGCGTGCGGGATAGGGTGAAAAAGAAAAAGAGCTGGTTTTTATACTCCACTTTCCCCTACCTTAAGTATTCTTGAAGCGGCTTACAATCTCCTTCCCTTCCTCTCCCCACAACAGTCACCATGTGAGATAGTTGGGCCTGAGAGCATTCTGAGAGAACTGTGAGTGGCCCAAGGTCACCCAGCAGGCTTCATCTGGAGGACTGGTGAATCAAATCCGGTTCTGCAGATTAGAGTCTGCCTCCCTTAACCACTAAACCACGCTGATTGACTGAGGAAAGGAAACAGGGAATGGATGTACACACTATGCTTACCAGGGAGAACTGTATTCTATGGAGGGTGAGGGGCTGTAGAAAAGCTGGTCAGGAGACAGGGTAGCAATCAAAGCTATGTCTGATTGACTGCTGAGCCCAATTGTGGCTTCTACTGTCACTGCAATGTTATTGCCTGGTAGCTTTCAGAGGGCAATGGGGGGGGGGGTGAAGTTCACATCTAGATTTGAACTAACTGGCCAGGGTTTTTTTGGTTCCAGTCTCCTAATATGCTACTTAACAGGGAATATGAGAAGCTCAGAGGAGTGAATTTCCATATTTGATTCCCCAAAGTATTCATTATTATTTTTTGCCTTATGTCATTATTGTACATATACTATGGCCTTTAAATTGACAATTCCCTGAGAGTGTTGTGCAAGTAGGAATTTCCTTTCAGTTGCAGACTGACAGATTAATAAAAACAAAACAAAATAAGAAAAATAACTCTCGATTTCAGAATACACTTACTTCAGAAACCATAGAAAACTTGTGAAGCATAATAGAAAATCTAAAGGAAATATCTAGGGGGTATTTTTCTTTTCTTTTTTTACCTTGTTGAGAGACTGCAGCAGTGAGCTGATTTTACAGATCTCTGAAGAAACTAGAAATAGGAGGAATTTCAAAGTATCTATGAAACTTTTCCCTTAGGACTTCTTAAAAAAGTGTTTTCTGCACTACTGTGGGGCCTTTTCATAAGCATATAGAAAGGGAGAGAAAACTACATTTCTAGAAATGTATTGAAAACACTCAGCAACTCAGATTTTGCATATAAGATTATGCATTTTATTATGTGGCCTATGTTTCACTTATTCATAACTAGAAATAGGATTTGGGAAACAAACAAGGATTTTTCAAACTATAGCTAAACCATAATCCCTTCAACTGCAGCAGATCCTGTCCTTGACCTTTAAAAATAAAAAAGAAACTAAAGATAGGAAGGGATATTTAAAGTTCACCTAGAAAATTATTGTAATTTCCAGATATAATTAAGGTAAACATTTTAAGATTAAAGCTTTTCTACCCTGAGAAAGGTTTTCTTTTTTCTGAAAAAAAATCTATTTGGATAAAGAAGTTGCAGAAGTTTAATTAAGCAATATAACATAATAATAATCTGTACATATAATATATTGGATTCATTTCTATTAATAGAGTTTGCATTATCCATGCAGAAAAATGAGGTTAGTATATTTATGAAAAGAAATGGACAATCAAAATGGACACTTCCATTGAAGTGGATGGGAAAGTAATTCAAGTGGGAGAGCTTTGTGTGTGCCTC